AATGATAGAATCAAAATGCTTAATAAAATCAAAACATCTATTGCACATTTTTTTGTACATAATAGTGGGTCTATTGTAGAATAATTATTAAATGATAGCCATTTTCCTAATGTCTTTCTAATATTCAACCAATCCTTCCAAGTATTTTATTATCCTATGATTTTTGTTCTCTGGGAATCTAAATCCCTGAGAAATTAAGCAATTTCCCAGAGCACATAGCTAGTCAGGAGCAAAACTGGGATTGAGCCCTGGAGCCCTGGCTTGATAGGCAGTGTTCAGCTATTCCACTGCCTTCTACTTGTATACTGGAAATATATTTATCCCTTATGACATGAAATAAATACTAAGTGCCTCAACTTTTAGTAATTCTATTACTTCTCATGAGAGTACTGTCATTACCTTGTGTTTAATTCTTTGAAGAATATATTAAGTTCTTGAAAAGTCTTGAGAAAATTTACTAGACATGACGTCTATCAGTACTTTGTGTGACTCTCTTTGTGTATGTGTATGTGATTTGGTTGTTTAACCAGGAGTAAAAATGACTAAATGCATATCAATCAATCTCTACCTTTATTACACATGCAGGGGTCCTCAGCTGTGTAACAAAAGGATCACATACATATGAAATCATAAAAAGAAGCTGTGAAACAGACTAACTTAAAATCCTGTAATGCAAATGTGCGTCTGAAACAATGTAGCATCAGAGATCCTTACGGTAAACACTGAAAATAAACTACTCCTTCTGAACCAGCGTTCATTCTCCTTCATATTCAAATCTGTCAGTTCAGAGAGGAGACACTGCCTTCCGAATTTGCTAGCAGTGATGCAAGAAGCATTCACCATGTTTTGCACATGAAAGGGGCAGAGAAAATTGAGACTTAAACTACTTTGTACATCTAGATTTTCAGAACTAGAGGTCCTCATGCCCATAAATAAAGAATGAGCATTAGCTATCCATTCACATAGGCAAGAAGCAGGCCTTGGACAGAAAAGCCACGCCCTGGAAGGCAGGTGCCACCCACACTGAACTCTGCAGAGTGACCTACCTGAGTGAGTCTGTTTCACTCCTGCATGGTTTGCAAGCAGATCTCGACCAGCAGAGAGACTTCTTGGATGCCTCGGCCAGTCTCACAGAAAGGACAAGCCACATGTGGAAGTCTCACCTGTTTTACTAGAGGGTTGAGTTTCAAGAATTATGGTCTTTGGGCAAAAGCCAAATTTGTAGCAGCCTTTTGTTTTCTTCATCATTAATGTGTGTGCATGTGTTACTGCATTAAACTTTTTGCTTTTCTGAAGGAAGACTCAGAACCTGCTTCAGCTAACCCCTTGTTTATTAGTGAAAACCTTAGACCCAGTTAGAAGACACGTGGAGAACTAGAATTAATGGGAAAGCCATGACATTTGTTTTGATAAAATCTTTTTTTTTCTTCAAAATTTTATTGATAAACAGCAATGAGACAGTTTCAAATCAAATCGGAAGTACAGTTTCAACAAATAATACACTGCATATATTCTTCTTAGTGGTTAATTGCTGTACAAGATGAGGACTTGAGATGCTATTTACAAACACCATTAGAACAAATCATTCTATTCATTAAGAGAATGCAACTATATATCTATCCTAACCACTTTGAATACACAGATACAAAATGGACATTCATCTGTATACCCTATTTTTTCGAAGTTCCGTTATTGAATATTATAGGCGTGTAAACTCAGCAAAATATTCTAAAAGAGTCCAATAGACATATAATAGCATTGGGTCTTCTGTTCAACTGGAAATGTCAGAAATTATTGACCTGAGTCCCCCACAGCTCAACATAACAGCATGGCTTTACTTCCTATATTTCGTCTTTATACTTTTCTACTGGATGGTTAAGACCAAGGTAAAGCAAGACCTGTGCAATAAGAGTTGTAGCTTTTTGGTCTGAGAAGGTCAGTGGAATCCCCTCAGGATTTATCCTGAGATCCTGTACCTCAGATTGTAGAACCTTTGCCAGTGCAGCCATGTGGATGAGTCACGGCCATTGCTTGGCCAATGTGCTCTCTGTGAAAGCCTGAGAGAGTGTTTTCTCCCCATGTGACTCTCCTTAGGCACACTCTACATCATCGATCACTTTCCTCTTTGGCCCCATAATCTTCTTGATCAGAAAATTTGGGACACTACCGAGGTACATGACGTTACAGTACAAGTTCTCATATGTCCTGAGTCTTAATTGACCTTAGAAGGCTAGGGCCAAAATGTTGGCTTTCCTTGTAGCCCTCCTTTTTTTCTAATTTTGGTCTGCAAACTTAGGTTGTTAACCATCCAGAAGACAAGCTTATTGTTATTATCAAACGATTTAGGCTATTAAGCCTAACCTCACTATCTCACTGCATTATTTGAGCCTGAGGTAGTATCATCTAGAAGAAAGAAACAAAGATGTACACAGATACTTTTGGTGGGAAGTTACCTGCATGAGTTCTGGTTTTCCAGAGGAATAGAATCAATATAAAATGTGTATCACTATACAAAGGGTTGGTTTATGGGATCAGAGGCAGAAGAGCTACAATGACCATCTTCAGAATTTAGATGGAAGAATATAAAATAGCCATCTGTGAGCTGGAGAGGCAGAGATACAGGAGCAGTTGGGCATAGAAGGCCTAGAAGCTCACTGCAGAGCCAACGTGTGCATTTGCATTAGGTGGCTGAAGCGTGTATTAGAAGGCTGAGGAACTACAGACCAGTGTCCAAGGTGATGAAAGACTGCAGCTCTTCCAAACGGAGGGCAAGAGACACCTGCTTCTGTCTTTCCCTTTTCATCCTGTGCAAACTACAAGACCATTGGTTGGTGCCACCTACCTCCCAGTTAGATCTTCCTGCATGTGTCAGCCCACATGTCAAGAGCTCATGGGCATACCAGAACGTACTAATCTGCTTGGCAGTTCTCAAATCAAGATGATATGTCACCACTTATGGTCACACTAACATATCTTCTGGTTCTTTGAAGCTCATCTTATTGATATCTTTATTTGTCACCTTTGTTATAAAAAAAAAAAACTTACCATTTAAAATATCCATCCCCTGGGCTGGCCAAATAGCTCAGTGGATTAAAGCACCTGCAAGCAGGTGCAGGGGCTGCGGGTTGCATCCCCGGGCCTGCCATGCCAGCCCTGCCCCTGGGGCATGCTGAGACAGCCATTGAGACTGGGTGTGGTGGCATGCGCCTGTAATCCCAGCTCTTGGGAGGCTGTAAACAGGCAGATCACTATGAGTTTGATCTAGTAGTGAGACCCTGAACATCTGTAGACCCTTCCCTAAAATAAAAGAAAATAAATAAAAATAAATAAAAAATTCATCCCACTTGGAAAGCTATTTGCTTTCAGTAAATTAGTGTTTGAATTTTTCATCCCAAACAAAGATCTTTTATTTTTTATACCTTGTCTTGTTTGACTGTTGTAGTTTTAACTTCTG